TCTTATTATTGTCTTTCAGGATAATTATACTACCAAAGTTAAATCTGGTGAACTCGTAACTCAATATAGCGATATTAAACAACAGTAATCATTGAGCAACAACAGTAATGACTAAGAGTTATACATACAAAAAGGTCTAGTCGAGTTCATAGGGTTAGTAAATTTATGTTGCCATCAAAGTTTTTTAGTAATCAACCCAAAACCCAACGAATGACAAATACACGATATGAAGTAATCATTGAGCAATAACAGTAATGACTTGATGACTAAGAGCAACGCCTCAATGAGCAATAGCAAATACTCACTGCTTTAGAGGCCATGTTGGTAGCAATGCAGCATAGCATGCCTATAGGCCAGTTGGATAGCATTGTCCATGTAGGACTACCTTTCGTTGCAAGTAAAACAGGGAACCCAACCTCCACTACTAGCCATGAAGTATGATTTTATTTATAAGTTTGATATTAATTTGTTTATTATATTTATTGATTTGGTTTTAATACTTATATTTCATTATATATTGCAGCAGAATGTTAGGACTCAGAGTATGACCTTTGCTCAGGCTACCATGGATGAGTTATCTAATTATTCATTTGATCATTTATCTAGAGAAAACTATATAACCATGAGTCTAAGGAAGGGTTATTTGATAAACCGTCATTTTTTTACATTGGTTTGGATGAGATTAAATAATTTTATGAACTGGATGAAATATCAACTGTTAATATTGTTACTTATACGAGGTTAGCTTATAAATACAAATATACATACTCAATATGTATTAATATATATTACGGTGTAATACTAACTAGTATTGTTAATTATTATCGTGTAGCTTCCTATATAGAGAGGTCAAGGCAAGACAGTTGACCCATAAATTTAGATTCATTAATCCCAACTTCATTAGTGAGAGAGTGGCATAGTCACTTTTCATGCTAATCATGTGATTGAATGCATGAAAAAATCGGTTAATTATTATTTGCTCTCGTATAATACACAGTAAGTTATATTCATACAAATAATTATTCCAACCTTACCTGAATCTAATATGATACCTAATCTGAGTATATCATTCTTATTATTTTGTAATCGTCATTGGGTGCTTATTGTGATTGATACCAAATCCTTAATGTCATACTTAATTCAGGTAATCCAACGACGATGGCTAACCCTAAAATTCAAACTTTTATATAGAGGTATTACATGTTATTATATTATATATCTTCTGTTTCTTCATAAGTAATTTTATTTATATATTAAGTAATTTTTTTCTTTTCAATTTAGGGTAATATCTGCATTTGATAAGAAGGCAAAAAATTAATAAGTGACATTACCGGTAAATGTGAAATTTATTCTTTTATACTAAGTTTGTGTAGATAAATGTTTCCTAAACCTACTCAATTTAATTTTTAGGTACCTTGTCAACCCGAAAATACTAAATGTGGATATTATGTTCTTCGTTTTATGTGGGAGATAGTTTTATATGATTTTATGACTACACCATTCAAGGTTAGTATAAATTTCATAAAGTTGTTATATCTTCAAAAAAATGAAAAGCTAAATTATGTTATTGTTTATTAACATTTACTTTTGATTTTTTTTTTTTAGTGGGAGTGTAAAGAAAGCTTCACGGTAGAGGAACTTGAAGAAGTCTGTAAAGAATGGTGTGAGTATGTATTATCATTTATTGATAAACCTTGAGGTTAGACATTATTGGTTGAATGTAAATATATGAGGATAATTTGTTATAATGTTTTTAACATGCTATATTGAATGGATAATTTAAGTTTGTAGATTGAGGTATTGGTTTAATATTATTGTATATATTTGTTTTATATGAATACACATACATTGAGTACGATTATTTGAGAAAAGTATATTAATATAGCAACATTATCAGTTTTAAATTCATATGTGTGGTCAATTTATTGAAATACAATAATGTTTATAATGTAAATTTAAAAATAATTTGTAGTATCACATATATAAACAAAATATTTTCTGGGTATAAACCTACAACTGACTTTAAATATTTTTTAAGCATAAACCTACAACTGATTTCACATATATAATTAAACCAAAGTTTTTTTTATGGGATTACTGAAGGCATTTTTAGCAAGAAAATGCATTGAATAATCCCTAACAAAATGTTATTGAAGGTGTTTTTGACCAAAACTACCTTCAATAATCCCATCTAAAAATTTATTGTGTGGATTATTAAAGGCATTTTAGGCCAAAAATACCTTCAAGAATCCGTTCTAACTTTTTTGTGTGGATTATTTAAGGCATTTTTTACCAAAATCGCCTTTAATAATCACTCATGAAATTTTATTGATTGGATTATTGAAGACACTTTCGACCAAAAATGCCTTCAAGAATCCGTTCCATATTTTTTCTATGGATTATTAAAGGCATTTTTCTGTCAAAAACGCCTTCAATATTCCTTCTCCAAAGTTTTTAAAATCAATTGGTGAGGGCGTTTTTGCCCAAAAAATGCCTAAAATAATCCATTACAAATAATCCCTTCAAAAACTCAAAAAAGGCTAAAGGGAGGAACCGAACCTACTACCTTATGGTTAATAACCATATGATCCTTAAATTTTGATAGGATATCTATTGAAGGTATTTTTGACCAAAAATGCCTTCAATAATCTTGTGAAAATTTTTCGTGGAATTATTAAAGGCGTTTCTTGCAGAAAAGGTTTTCCATAATCGCATAATTTTTTTATGAGGGAAATTATTCAAGGCATTGTCTATCAAAAATACCTTCAATAATCCCTTATCAAATTTTTTACCTAGATTCTTCAAGCTATTTTCTACCAAAAATGCCTTTAGTATTCACTCAAAATTTTAAGACAGGATTATTCAAAGCGTTTTAGTCAATAAATAGCTAATATCAAGTCTTGGGTGGCGTTTATAAGTAAAAACGCTGCTATTTGAATATTTAGTGATGTTTTGATAATAAACCCCTTAAGTTTTATAAAAACATAGAAGTTAGCGGTGTTTGTAAGTGAAACGTTGCTACAAAACTATCACTAATATTTTATTTTCTTATAATGATTCAATCCAGGTAAATTAGCAAAAACTCAGCCTAGAATCATGCCCGAACAAAATCCAATCCTAGGATTCAAGCTTGGATTGGTTCTATTCAATCCGTAAAAGTCTCCAAATGATGGCTATAAATTGAGCAAAGGACCAAAGGAACAATACATGGTTAACTTAGGGATTGATTTTTGGAACGGGGATATTGGTGAAAAAAATCTGGTTGTTGCATATCTGAAAATAGGTTTCTGGGCATTATAGTTTCTGGATTTCAATTTTAAAATTTCTTGAGAATTATGGGTTTGGATTTAGGTTTTTAGAGTTTGGATTGAAGTTCTAGAAGGTTTCTGAAGAGCTCTAAGAAAATCTAGGAAAATTTGAGATTTTTTTGAAAAATTTGGGTTTTTGGGATGAACTTTGAATTTTTTGGTTAAATTTTTTGGCAAGATTTGAATTTTTTGGCGGGATTCTAGCAACTTTTTAAAAACTAGTGAAATTTTACCACTTTCCGATAGTGTTCTTGGGTTTTTTAAAAAAGAGGTCAAAGGATTTCGATGCTAGAGAGAGAGAAAGAGTAAGGAACTTCTGAGAAAATACTAAGGAGTGTGAGTTTTATAGCGTCCCAAAATGATGCCATTTTAAAGGTTTCAGACCTACGCGTGACTCGTTGACCTGCATGTCAACCTGTGCTTTGATCCAATTAGATCCAGGTCTTTTTTTTATTTTAATTTTAATTTTTATTTATTTGATATTTTTAGTTGTTTATTTTATTTTCAATTTTCTTTATTTTACTAATTTTTATTATTTATTTATTATTTATTAAATATTTTGTGAAAATTCATTTTTATTTTTGGAAAACTAAATAAAAAATAAAAAAAAATCTTTTCAAATAAATTCATGAATCCTACTGAACTATTGAAAAATTTTCATGAATTTAAATTTTTTGAAATCCACCAAACTATTGAAAAATTTCATAAATAAATTTTTAAAAAAATAAAAAAATAATTTTTATCTTACCAAACTATCGGAAAGATTACTTTCTAAATTAAGCCTTATCAAACTATTAGGAGATTTAATGAACTTTCTCAAAAGCATAAAATTTTTTTAAATATTTTCAAATAAAATCTTACCAAATTATTGAGAAATCTACCTTAGTAAATTCTACCAAATTATTGGAGGACTTTACTAATTTTCTTGAATAAAATATATTACTAAATCTGATGATGAAACCTCTTCATAGTGAGACATTAATATTCATGAATACTCCTGAAGTGAAAGAATTATCTTAAATTATTACCAAATTATTGAGATAATTTTAAGACTAATTTTCAATATTAAATTTTTTGGTAAATTACAAACATATTCAAGGCTTGTATAATCTAAAATCAAATCGGTACGATCCTCTAGATATATATTATAAGGATGTTATAAACTTTTTCATACATAACCATATTCCCGAACATAAAATTTAGTTTTGTTAATCAAAATTTACTATTTAAAGATATCTAAATTAACTTTGAGATTTCTCTTTCAATAAGATAGATTCGATCAAGTAACCAATCACACCTAAACAAAAAAAATTAAATACGACTCTTAAAATCTATCTAACGATAGATCTACAAATTTATACATTATAATAATTATAAAAGTGATAAAATAATAGTCAATAAAATTGAATAAAATATATAATCTTTTACTATTTTATTTGTATTTGTTATTATGAGTAAACAATGAGTGTTACTTATCAATTAAATTCGATGAATACTCAAACTTCTTTATCATTTAGTTATAAATAAAACGGGTAAACCTAGTCAATTTTTTAAAAATATATTTAATATTTTATAAATAAGTGAATTGGTAAAAATATAATATTTGATATTTACAATTTTTTAATTTTATCCGAGTTAACCAAATCTATGGAACCAAACTCAAAACTCAAATTGGTTGATGAGTAATTTAGTAGTTATCGTGTGTTAAATTTGAGATTGGTTAACTTCCATTTTGCTAAGCTATATGAACTACTTTGAACAAGCCAGTGCGAAGCAGTTGGCTGAATGGAAAATGGATAATTAATACACAGTGTCTTGAATTGAAACCATATTAATCACTTAAAATGCAAAGGAATATCAAGCCTTCACCCAATACAAGCACATTGCTCATCCATAAAGCTCTGGCGGTCATGGTAAACTACTCTTCTTTCTGTATTAAACTCATTCGCATTAATCCATTCCTCCAGAGATTGACACCAATTTCACAATTAGACATATTATCTCATGGTCTCAAAACCATAACTGGGTACAACTTCAATAACCAGTTATAACAAGTAGAAACTAAACCTCCAAACTTTGCAGCCGCTCCCGGTAAGAGGATTTCACGGCTGATGCAACTGAAGAAGCTGCTACACTGGCCAACATTCAGGTTTTACCATTTCAGTTCCAACACCTGCAATCCGTAAAGATTCTCCATCCTAGTTGTCAGCCATTCCCAAAAACTAGATTGTACATCTGCCCACAGCTGTATATGCTCAAAGGAAAGGTAGGGCCATCTAATTGCCCCAGTGAAGCCAAAGTCTTCCCACCTTTCATCTCACCTCTTCCATCTGGGAAGACTCTGATGAAAGGGAAGGTTGAACATGGTTAACGAGTCCTAACATGAATAAGCCCATCCATACATAAAATCAACAAGAGACCAATTGATTGAGTATTCCAGGCAGTTAATCAGATAAGATTGTGTACATAATCAATCAGCCCTTATCAGCCTCCCCTATAAAACACAATGACAACTATTCTTTTCATCAGTTCAGAAAATTAGACATATATGAGACAACCTTTTCCTCCATTATGATTCTTGGCTGCCAGATTTGATCATTTTTAGTGCTACACTATGAACTATCTACAAGATAAATGTACACAAAGATATGCAATAGGTTGTACAACAATTAACCATATCGTAAAACAAATTAACCAATTAGCAGAGAAGCACACCATCTCACAGCAACAAATCCCACTACCCAAGTTCAGCAATATCAAAATAAGAATCAAAACGTAACAAATATGTTCTCCTTTTCGCATATACATACATATATATATATATATATATATACACACACACAAACACGCGCACGCGCACACAAACAAGCATAGATTACAAGTGAAAATTTTCCCATATGATGTAGAGTGAAGTTTTGCATGCTGATCATAATTCTTAAAAAAACTCTTGTGATATAGGCAGAGGACCAGCCAATTAGATGTCAACTATGTCAGTGTAAAATATAACCAGAATACCACATATGAATCCTAAAAGAAGGAAAATTAATTTCGCAATAAGTTTGTTAATATAGAAAAAGGAAAAGAGAATGACCCAAATGAATCAAACCTGAATACTTTCAAGAAAGATACAAGTAAATAGGCTCATAAACAGATAAATATATATATAAAGAAGTTTTAGGACATTAAGCAAAAGAAATGCAATTACATCAGTCACAAATTTACCTTACACACTAGAAGGTTCTTTTTCAAACTTTAAAGAAGTTAGAATCAATACATATATATGGCTGAAATAAAAACAAGCTTCGTGGATAACCCTTTACCAGCTAAACAAAATACGACCCCCCCCCCCCCCCCTCCCCCCAATTTGTTATCCCTTTGCAAACAAAAAACATAAAGAAAAGAAAAGAAAAAAGGAAGCTGGAAATTATGCCTACTTTCTGACTAATACGAGGGCAAAGAAAGAACGACAAAGCCGATTCATCCATCTCTCCTTTCCCTCTCAAACTAACAGAATGAAATAGAATATTAAGAACTGTACTACATTAAATCTACTTAGGCCGCATATATCCAGAGTTGCACGTTTCAATAACCATAATCAAAAGATTCCCAAGCACCATCGATCAGAGAGAATACTTACATCAATGTGGTACAGTTAAACTGGTCACTGTACTTCACAAGTGCACTTCCTCATTCTTTGTTTCATTGTCGTCAGCTGCCTCATTCCTAGCTTCTTCACACCTCCACTCATCTTTCTCTTCTTCGACAACCTTCTTCTCCCCCACAAGCTCACTGCCTCTTGCTTCATCACCCTTGGCCTCATTTTCCTTGTCTCCAACTATTTCCTCCCTCAAAAGTTGACCCTTTAATTCGTTACTACCTCTTCCTTCCTGTTTTAGCTTATCTTCTCTTGCACCATCATCTTCTGCAACAATCTCCCCCAAAACTTGAACCTTTAATTCGTCACTCCCTCTTCCTTCATTCTTTGCCTTATCTTCTCTTGCAACATCATCTTCTGCAACAATCTCATCCATACAATCATCCCTCAGACCTTCATTACAAGGCATTCCATCATTATTATCCTCCCCCATGACAACAACAACATCTCTACTATTTCCAGCAGCAAAATCAACCATTTCCACATTATTACGATCAGCAGCATCAGTAACCACCCTAACATCAGAACCACTACCCTCAATCTCGTTATCAGACCCATTCTCCACAACCTCCTCATTAACATCTTCCAATACCTGACTCTGCCTCTCTAAAAACTGTAACCTCCTCCTCAAATCCCCCAATTCCCTCTCCATCAAAAACAACCTTTCCTTTAATGTCAAATTCTCTTCTGCCAATTGAGCTATATGGGTATCTTGATCATCCACCCTATTCTCCAAAACATTGTTATAATCACCTCCATAACTTGGATATATCATCTCAAACCTACTCAAATCATGGTCCAATCTCCTCTCCACTTCCACGTGTTCTTCCACATCACTCTCACTCGATCCCCCACCATTTCCCCCGTCCTCATCTTCCTCATCATCATGACCAGCTTCCGGTGATCGAAGCCGGATCAATCCTTTCATAGACCCGTAACCATCCACGCCCCATTCTTCCTTGGCCATATCACCCAAAACCTCCCTTGACGGTGAAAATATTGGCGTAGGAAGAACCGCAGGCGTCACCGGACATGGCGACACCAAGGACGCTATCCCGCCTGATTTTTTCGCTCGGATTATAAAAGAAGTCGTATTCCGCGGCGCGTAAGGAGCAAACCGGTTGTTGTTGTTGTTATTGAATTTCTTCTTGTTGGTGTAGAATTTCCTGGCCTTTAAGCGATTCTGAGATTGGAGCTCGTTAAGAGTTGGAGGTTTGTACCCTTGAGTATTACTACCAGAAGCACAGGAAACAGAAGAAATAGAAGAAACAGAACCCATGGGTAAAGGCTTATTATCGAACTTTCTATAATCTTTACCGGCGGAAACCTTTTTGCCCTTCCAATTGTTATTACGATTGAAAGAAGGGAATTTCTTGTTAGGGATAGGGTTAGGGTTTGGGTCCTGAGATTGCCAAGGCTTGTAGCTTCGATTCAACATCATCTGAGGAGGTAGCTGAGTCATCATCTGAGGACCAGAGCTCATCGGCTGCGACTGAGACGCCACCAATTGGTTCATCGCCTGAGAGTGCGCCGCCGCCGCCATTAACTGATGAGACTGATTCATCATCTGCGACTGAACCGAAACTTGTACCTGGCCAGGTTTCATCATCATTTGCGGTGGCTGATTCATCATCTGAGTCTGATCATTCATTTTATTCTTTCAAAAACAAAAGAAACGAAATCAAAGAAATCTAAAAAGAAAAACGAAACCCTAAATTTTCAGTTCAAGAATTGAAATTTGTCGCAAGATTCAAACGAGTTATTGATCCGTTAATTTCTTTTCCTTCTTTCTTTTTTTTCTGTTATTCAATCTAAAACCAAAAAATTACATTAATTGCTTTCAAAACCTTTTCCCCTATTTTCAGATTCGAGTTTCCGAGATCTGGAAAAGTCTAATTTTCTTGAAGGAGGCTGATGGTTGCTTTTATAGGAGATGAGATGAATCTCTGGACGGTTAGATTTTTAAGATTAGAGATTGACGGCTAAAATTTGATGCGCGTGTCCTTGTATAGATCGAGATAGAGTTGGTCCGTGTTTAGATGGAGTTTTCCTTTTTACCCTTGTTATTTTGAAATTTGGGAAAATATTTCTTTTAGCAACGTGTGTTATGGTAAACTAACCTTTGAACCCTTTGATTTGATTGCTAATTGCTTAGCTGTCAATTCGATGTTTGCTTGTGGTGGACAACTACAGATCCGTAATGAATGGTAGGGATTGTTTGTTGCGGAAGAAAAAGAATCTTTTTTTTTTTTTTTTTATGGTTTGGGAAAAATTATAATGTTTGTAAACTTTAAGAATTTTATTTCGGCCAAAAAAGGATTCCAGAATTTCGTTCTCCGTAATTTTCAAAAAATAAAAAATTATTCATTTTGTTTTTTTTCAAAAAATTTGAAAATAAATAGGTTGTTTAATTTTTTAAATTAAAATAAATAATTGTAAATTATACATTTGATATAATTTAATAAATAATCATTGATAAAATTTGAATTCAAATTTTTTTTTTATAAAAGAAAATGAATCTTAATTGATTAAATAGATTACTTATTAATTCAACATTATAAATGAACGGTGAAATTGTGTCAACCGACTTTATATTCGTTTGTAATTTAAAATGTATTTTTTATTGTAATTTATACAATGTAGTCTGCATAGTATTTAAGTTTAATAATTTTAGTTTAATAATTAATTTTATCCAACTTTTGTTACTAAAATATTAACATTGTTGATCTGATAATGTAATTGGTGACTTTGTTTACGGTAAATTTTAGTATGCTAACGATTTTTGTGCTTTGTTGAAATTTAAAATTTAATTCATTTATTATTGATTCATACAAATATAATTTATATATTATTTTTATTTGATGATTTTAATTTAATTATTAATTTTATCCAGTTTTTATCGTTTAAAATAATAATATGTTCATTGATTTGATAATGTTACCGTTAACTTTATTTATATGATATTTAGATTGACGAATATTTGGACCAATATTAATATGAGTTAAATGACATACCATGTAATTTTTTTTTAATCACATCAAATTTTTCATTGAAAAAAAAAAAAATCGGAGGTGTAACACAATGAAAGCATCCCATTGCATCCGGTCGCCCATCTAAATATATTCTAAATATGTTTCTCATTATCTTAAGATTCAAACTTAAGAGTTCCAAGATAAAATTTAAACTCTAATTTTGAGTATTTTCTTGGAAACAAAATGATTATGAAATCAAATCATCTATAGTTAATTAGTAATAATTTAAATTTGTGTAAAATTTATTTATTAAAATTTTATGTAAAATTAATTTACACTTATAAATGATAGATTTATACATAAATTTTATTATAATCAAATAATTATAAGATAATAGTAAAACAAATCTCCAATGACTATATACACACACGTGTGATTAAATACGCAAATGCCATCATCTCAAAAAATTAAAAAACCAAGAAAAAAGTCAAGTTCTCATAGCTGCCTTTTTACAAAGAAAAAACTTGGTATGGAAGGTCCCTACAAACAGTGCATGGGACAGTAAAGCTATTATTATTTTTTTTTTTTATGAGAGTAAAAGAAGAGAATTGGAAGTGAATTATTGGAGTAACGGAATACATGAGATTTTGAGGTGTATAGTTCCATTCCATAAACCTCCTACTAATATCATCTTATAAATTTTTTTACGAGGTTGCAGCTTTTAAAAAGAAAAAAAAGGATTGCAGGTAATTATTTGAATTTTAAATATTATTTTTAAAAATGATTATATAAATTAAATTAGTTAAATCCAAAATTAACCTTGAAGACATTTTTAAAACAATAAACTCATTCACATTATTATCTAATAAATATAGAAAAGGTAGTTTTTGTGGCAAACGTTTGAAGCAAGGTAAGGTAGGTAAGAAGGTATCGAGATTGTGTGAGACTAAAGCAAGTGCCTACCGAGGAAGATAAACTACACACTGCTAAGGTATATATGCTTCTAAACTTTTAACCCAAAACATAAAGCTTCTTTTCTATTCCTTTTCTATCACATATTCCCACCACAAAATATTCCTACTTTGTTCCATTTTTAACTTTTGCATAAGGAAAAGCATAATCTCCATTCACCAAACTTGTCACCATATAGAAACTCGTATCTTTTACCATTTTTTTCTTTTTTTTTTAATAAAAAATTAATAAAAAAAATTACAAAGTTTAATTGTGCTTCTACTAGTTAACCTCATATCAAGAAATTGATGCTTAGAGAGTCTTTCCAAGGTCTCCCTTAGGTTTTCTGCCTAGGGTTCTAGTGGAAGTTTCGTCTTGCTACGGCAAGTTTTTTTAGGGTTTATCCTAGTTTGTGGTTTTCATCTAGGAGTTTTTACATAGTAATGAAAATGTCCATGGAATGCCTGGAGCAGTTTTGGAGGAAACTATCATTAACAGAGAAAGAGCAACAAGAGGTAAAAATCGAAACGGAATTGGTGACGCCTACTCTCGAAGCGGGGCAGAACTGTTTGTTGGTGAAGAGTTTGTCCAAAAAAAGATTAAACATAGAGGTAGGGATTTAAATAGTGGTCGTGATCACATTTTCGATCGCATCGCGTTTATTTCGGATATAATGGAGATCATAAAGATTATCGCGATCATGAATTTTTTTTTTAATTTTGCATAATTTTTTATAAAATATAATAATTATAATTATAATCATAAAAACCTTATTTAATGCTTTTAAAAATATATCATACTATATTTTTTATTTTCTAAAAAAAAAATACTCACAATTTTAGTTAGATTATAATAAAACATTCATATTTGATTAAGCAACAAAATTTTTGCTTGAGCCAAGTTCATATTCAATGTTAATTCTAGACAAATAAGATATTAACAAAACATAATATATTAAATACCAAGCATCTATATTTAATAAAATTACAAACTTAAAAATATAATAATTTCAAATTCTATCAACTATAACTATTGATATATATATATATTTCAAAATTTACCACATGGTAGAATAACGAGGATGATCAAATTCTCTATTTTCATTTTGAGAGTCAAGTTGACTCCATCCCCATCCCTGTGGCCTTTGTTCTTGATGCAATTGAGGTGGAAGATATATTTGAGGATGATATATTTGTGGTGGGGGATACATTTGAGGTGGAGGATACATTTGTGGTGGATAATAACTATATAAAAGTGGATAACCATGAGAAGGTTAAAAATTAGGTTGTTTCGGTAGATAGTAACGTCCTTGAGTACTAGCAGATGATTCACTATATTCAAAATTACCAGAATTTGGTCTCCTACCTGAAGATGAAGAACCTCTAGAAATATCATAGTGGTGCTTCTTGGTTTTTCCTTTTGATCAAGCTGTATGTGCACTTTGACCCTCACTAGATTCAGCAAATGGATTTACTTCATATTCTACTATGTTAATAAAAAATCTAGTAGTAGTAGTAAGGCCAAATTCTCCTCCAAGTGGGTTATAAGGTCGATTTGCATCAATATTACCACCAAAATTTGCACCGTCACCATCACCATCACCATCACCATCATCTAGACTTAAACCCCTACCATCATCACTCTGACTTGGTGTTGGACTTGAACTTGAATGAGACACATTCATTTCTTGATATTGGTGTGACTGTTCAACATTCATTTCATTATCAGAATTATTTGTAGGCAACCAATTAGAGTTTTGACTATCTAACAAAGGATTTTCTTTCTCTTGCAGTCATTCTATTAGTAGATCATCCTTTTCAAAAATATGGTCAAGGCTAATAGGATTAAAACTATTATTTATCTCATTAATGCTCATTCTTTTTTGATGTCTCATCCTCAGCTCATGTTGTAATGGGTATATACAAGTTTATGAAGTTTTTCAAACTTCAATCTGTTTCTTGCTTTGGTGTGAATATAGCTAAATGTGCTTCAGTTATGTTCACAATTTATTATAGATGTTGTCTGATTAAGCACTTTGATTGCTAATTTTTGTAATTCAGGAACACAAGTGCCATATATCATTCACCACTTAGCTGTATAAAATTATTTAAATTAAATTTGAATATACTCTTCAATTAAATAATATAAATAAATTATAATTATTTAATTTACTAATTATCTGGATTCATTTGCTTCCAAGCTCTTTGTACCTGTAAAGTACCAAATGTTTCATGCTTGTCTCGGAATAATAGCAACTACATCAATTGAAAATATAATAATAAATGAATAAATAAAAAATAATTTTATTTTTAATACATAAAATAAATGTCAAATTTATAAAAAAGTCTTAAATATTAACCTAATTAATCATTCTAATTTGAGTATCTATATAAAGTTCTAATCTTTCAATAACTACTCTTGTACCATCTAATGTTTATTTAAGTATATTTTCAGAATGCTCCACTCCAAATTGATATTGTGGATTTAAATAGTAACCTGCCAAGAATTCATAACAATATTATATTAAAGTAATAAAAAATAAATATATGAGCAATTTAAGCATAAAAAATAAACATATTTTTTTAAATACAATCTATATTTTTCGTTTACTTACCAGCTGAATATAAGTCAGAATGCATGAAACTCCATCTATTATCAATAATCTTTTCATATTCAGTAGAATAATGATAATTTTGTTGAATTGCTTGTTTAGCTCTATCCATTGCCTCATAAATAAATCCCATTGTTGGTTTTTCATCACCATCAACAAGGCGTAATACTTTTACCAAAGGCTCATAAACTTTTAATATATCACTTGTTTTTTTCCAAAAATCTTTTCCCAAAATGATTTTTCTGGCTTCATAAGCAAGCCCTAATTTTTGTTGTCTCCATTTTGATTCTTTAAATTCTTATATATTCAATAATAAATTTTTAGAGCATTATATTTTAAATTAATATTTTAAACAATGATATCATAAAAAAGATGTTA